GCTGGGAGGTGGGTTTGACTGTGCCAGGATGCTCAAGGGGGCAAGGAGGACCTGGTACAGGCCTCATGGTCTGAGGGCTGGCAAGGCTGGTCCTTTGCTGGATAGCAGAATGGCTTGGAAAAAGAGGAGCATGCCCCATCCCATGGGATGTAAAGTGGGGGGATGGATGGCTCTGCCCCTTCTCAGGTGTTTGCCTTGGATACTGTCCCTTTCCAGCTCTTGTGGCAGTGTGGTAAGCTGGAGCTTGTCACGGAGGGCAGCATGCCAGGATGTCCCTCAACCTGGATTTGCTCTCTTTCCAGGGTTTGACCCTAAGCTCTTCCTGGTTTTCTTCCTGGGCCTGTTGTTGTTCTTCTGTGGGGACATGCTGAGCAGGTGAGTCACCTCCTTTTACCCTCTGAGCTGGGGGCTAAGCTGTGCTAGGTTTGCAGGGTAATTTTTTTGCTTGCTTGCACGCTGGGGAAGGGGGAGCCAAACAGCAGAGTATATGTCTGTCTGCACTTGGGTGCCCTGCCTGATTCTAAAGGTGAGGGGTCTGTGGGGCTCTGCACAGCTTCTCTGGGTTTCCAGGATGCAAGGTGTCTTTCCAATGGCACTGGCTGTTGGGGTAGGCATTCCCTGGCTGGCTTTGGCTGCCTGCAGACTCTCCTCTCAAAGGGTTGCTCCCAGCAGGTGTGTTTGCGCACACGCATCCTGTCAGCTGTAAAACACCTTGTGTGTGTGTGTGATTTCTGCAGGAGCCAGCTTTTTTACTACTCGGCCGGGATAAGTGTTGGCTTGCTGGCCTCGCTGCTCATCCTCATCTACATGATGTCCAAGGTCATGCCAAAGGTGAGTGTTGGGCTCTCTAGAGACTCCACAGCAGCCAGGCTGGTCTGGAGGTGTTGGATGGCAGCAGCTGGGGCTAGCTGGTACATAATAATCCTTTTCACACCTGCACAGGTGTGCTGGTGAGAGTGCTGGAGTACCTGGCTTTGGGGAGTTGGATTGTGGGTCTGGCTTTGCATGCAACAAGGTTTGGCAATTGGGGGGAGCGGGTATAGCCACAAGGGCCCTCTAGCCGCCGCCTGTCCTGATTCTCCTGTCTCCTTTCCTAGAAAAGTCCTGTTTACTTCCTGCTGGTAGGAGGCTGGTCCTTTTCCCTCTACCTCCTTCAGCTGATCTTCAAGAACCTACGAGAGATCTGCAAGTCGTACTGGCAGTACCTCCTAGGTGAGTGTGGGCCCTTCAGACTTGCGGGCTCATCAGTCTGTGCGACTCCTCCCTGGAGCTGCAACATGCTGGTGAAAGATGCTGAGGCTTCTTGCCCTCTTCATTGCCACAGATACTGCCCTGGTGCTGCTGTGAGAGAGAAGGGCTCTAGGGCTGGGTTTAACTGCAGCTCTGATAGATGTTGCTCAGCAAGCTCCTTTCAGGCAGGGTTGAGCCAGTGCTGTGAGAGTGCCTCTACGCTGGTTCCCTCCCGTCTGATCCCTGTGCTCTTCTGCAGGCTACCTGCTGCTTGTGGGCTTTGTGAGCTTTGGTGTGTGCTACAGATATGGCCCGCTGGAGAACGAGCGCAGCATCAACCTGCTCTCCTGGACCCTGCAGCTCCTGGGCCTGTTGCTGATGTACTCAGGCATCCAGATCCGCCCCATCGCCTTGGCCTTGGTGGTCATTGCCATCTGCACCAAGTACCTGGACTATCCCTTGCAGTGGGCCTACGCTGCCTACAGGTGAGGGCTGCTAGCTTCACCTGCTTCCCAGCCATTGCCTGGCCCAGGCGAGCTGCTAGCAGGAGCCCAGGTTGCAGGAGCAGGGCATTTCTGCTGGGGTTGGGGCCTGGGGAGGGGTACGCAGTGAGGGGAGGGTTGTCTCCTCTCGCCCGGGATGGGAGGGGAACAGCTCCTCATGGCTGGGAGTCCCCCTCAGGAGTAGGGTGCAGAGGCCAGAAGGACGTGCTCTGCTCTTTTTCTGCCAGTAGCCCTTGCCCCAGCTCTCCTGGGGGTTTGAACCTGTGGTGGGGGGTCTTGCCCTGGCTGGGAGGGCAGTAACTGGTGCTGCTCTGCTGGCAGGAGAGTGCAGAGCGCCAGACTCGGGCCGAGCCCCCCTCGCCTGCTGACAGAGGAGGAGTACCGCGTCCAGGGCGAGGTGGAGACACGCAGGGCTCTCGAGGAGCTGCGAAGCTACTGCAATAGCCCAGATTTCTCTGCCTGGGCTGCAGTCTCCCGCATCCAGTCTCCCAAGAGGTAACTTCTCATGGCAGCACACTCAGGGCGGCTGACCTGCGCCCCACATGCTTCTGAGCGCAGGGGTTGCATTGTGCATGCCTCTGAGGTGAAAGGAGAGCAGGGCTGCCACCCCCAGCTTTATAGATGGGGACACTGAGGCACAGAAGGCCTGTGACATACTGAAGGCAGGGCATGTCACAAGGGAAGGGGCAGAACAGCTCTCCCAGTCGTGGCCTGACCTCCTCCATGTTAGGCCACTTCTCAGCCATGGCTCTGCCTGTGTCTGAGCAGGCACGGAGGGAGGTGGTACGCTCTGCCACAGCACTGCTGGGCTCCATCCGCAGTTCCACCCCACGGACGGGGGCTCAGGTTGACAGGGCGCAATCTTGTGCATGCTGACAGCGTTGCCACACCACATGGCTGAGCTGGTGTGCCAGGGCGCTGAAACTATCCCTGGCTCCTGTGCCAGAGGTTCACAGGGAACTGTCGAGCATGTGTGCAACATGCTGCTTTGTGGCTTCTTTCTAGGTTTGCTGACTTTGTGGGTGGCGCCTCTCACCTCACCCCAAATGAGGTCTCTGTCCACGAGCAGGAGTATGGCCTGGGCGGTGTCTTCCTCGAGGACCAGCTCTTTGAGGAGGAGGAGGAGGATGACTCCTTCGATAGGGATCACATGAGCTACTCCCTGTCCCACAATCACCTGGATGCTGATTGAAGTCAGCTGCCCTGGACCCACAAGGGCAAGGGGCAGAACAGCTGTTGTTACCCCCACTCCCCTGACACCTGCAGTGCACATGGACACAGCCCTATCTGCAGCAGGGGTGAAACCATCAGCCAGGGCATGGGCAGAGCTGGCGTGCCTGTGCCTGGCATCTCAGATCCCATCCTGAGCTGGGCCATGATCAATGCTGCAGCAGAGCCAAACTGGGAGGAGGATAAGGGGAGCTGATGCCCCTGCCTTCCCCAGCCAGTTCCTGCCAGGCTGAGGCATGAAAGCTTTCAGCAGCACAGCCCTCAGCGCTGACAGCGGGTGCACAGGGAGCTGGTCCTGGGAGGTGACCACAAGGCCACTAGGGCCTACAGTGCTGACAAGACGTGGGATGCTGCTCTTGAGGGAGAGTGGACTGGAGCTGTCCTGGCTTTTGGTGTGCATGCGTGTGAGCCTCCTAGTATGTGAATGAGGTGGGCAGGGACCTCCCTCCCAGCCCCTTGGGCACTGCATTGACTCTGAGTGCACCGAGCTCACTGTCCCTCAGCATCGCTGCTGTAGCCAGCTGATGGGGAGCCCTCGTCCCCACCCTGTTGCCTCTGGACTGCTGAGCGCCCTTGCTCTGATGGAGTGCCTCTGTTCCTGCTGGGGTTTGGAAGGGAGTGAAAAGTCTGTCTCATGCAGATGCCTGTGGAGGAATGACGTGTACACGCGATGAACTTTGCACGTATCCTTCTGGTGTCTATGTGCTCAGCACCTGCCTGCTGTGAAGCTGCCTGTGGAGAGAGTGGCTTTCCAGATGCAGCAGGGCCTGGGACGTGGGTGAATTGCTCCTCTTCACACTGCTGCTTACCAAAGACACCCAAGGGCTCCAAGTGGTTCAGCTGCAACTCTGACTTGGTTCAAAACCCTCGTGGATACCAAAACCCCTAGTTCCTCCTGGGCGGAGACATGGCTCTGCAGGTGCCTATTGCTGGTGGAGGGCTGTGTGTGGGCATTACCGACCTCAGGAGAAGGCCCTTAAGTTTGCTCGGCCCCCTGTGTGGCTTGCCCCATCCTCCCCTTGCAGCTGTGATGCGGCAGCCCCATGCTGACAGCCCTGCGCTCGCTCTCGCTGTGCTTCCTTGTGCCCTCCTGTTTGCCGGGCAGTCCCTGGCTGAGGACCTGTGAATGTGCTTCCTTCTCCCTCGGCTGCTGTGTGTTTAGGTGCTGACAGCTCCTTGCCCTCCAGCCATCCCAGACTCCAGCTTTGGAGGAAATGTGAGGTGTTTACAGAGCCTGAGAGTCCCTGGGGGGCTCTTCTGCAGCTGGCTTGGAGGCCGGGAGGCCAGGCCGACTCCAAAGCAGGGCTGCTGGCTGCCTCCCAGCATGGGGCAACTCCTGTGCTTCCTGCGGCGGCCTATAAACGCCCCGTGTGAAGTGGCTGTGGCGCAGGTGAGTCTCCCAAGTGTGCTGGGGCCCCGCAGGTACTGCTCTCTGCTGCCATCCCCCGTACTTGTGGGGACTGTCCCTGCCGCGCTCCTCCCCAGCTGGCGTGGGGCAGAGGGATTGACCCCGATCGTACTTGCTCCTTCCCTGCACCAGGGAGGGGGCTCTGCTCCCTGGCAGCCAGGCTCTGTTACAGACTGGTCCTCGGCCGCCTTGAAGCGCAAACGTGGAGGGGACGCCCCAGTCTATGCAACTTTCTAAGCAATAAAACTGCCCTGCTGTAGCCTTACCGCCCAAGAGGCTGCTTCTGTTACCCTCAGCCTGGCTCCCGCAGCCCGGCCTTTACCTTGTCTCAGTGTTATTGCCTCCCTTTGGCTACGAGAGGAAGGGGGAGGGATCCCCAGCGCTCCCTGGGCTGCTTCCTCCAAGCAGCTGTAGGCATTTTTGCTGTTGGTGTGTGTCTGTGCCAGGTTCGCTCTCCTGCCCTTGCCGTGCTTCCATCCCCGCTGTGGCGTGAGCAGCCTCTGCAAGCAGCCCGGCACGCCTTCCTGCCCGCGCGCCGCGGCTCTTCTGTCCCCTCCGTGTGCTTAACACAAGTTGATGACTGAATTATTTTTTTAATAAAGGTTTTTTTTGTAGGTGATGAGACCTCATTTGTCCGTCCCCCGGTGACCCCAGGGTGCGTCCTTGGCCGTGGCCTGGCGGTGCACGGGAGCTTGCTCGGCCGAGGAGGCTGCGGGGCGCTTGGGGGGTAAGGAGCGGGCGGCTGGGAGACAGGTGCCGGCGGAGGGCAGGATGGGAGCAGAGCCAAAGGCAGGACGGGCCCTGTTCTTGCCAGAAGCCTTTAATGCTCTGGGGAAACGGCAGATTTCTCCGCACAAGCTGCAGTGGTGACTCTGTTCTGCTGAGGGCAGATGTCTTGCCCCTGCAGAGCAGCCCAGGGCGTTCCCGGCCCTGCCAGCCCCTGTACCTTGCCCCGGTTTCCCGGAGCCCTGGAAGGAAGCTCCCTTTGTTTGCTCGGCTGCAACTGAGTTTGCCTGCTTGTTCCTGCTATGAAGTGTTGCTGGGGGCGGGTGGGAAGTGCCGCAGTAACGGCCCTGCCGGGCTGAGCCCACCACACGGGGTCCGGGCCGGGGGCAGGCGGGCAGCCTGGCATCACTTCCCAGCTCCCCAC